GGGAACTGCATTTCTAAGTTACAAAAGTATTCTATTCATGAGAAAAGTACTGGTATTAACTCTTTAAACCCTGACAGTGAGCAGCATCTAATAGTACTGCTGAATCATTCATCAAGATCATCAGAATAAAGGATATGATTGCCAACCTAGGAAGTTTTGATCATTAAATGAATTTCCCTTCTCAGTACAAAGGAAACTATTTATAGAAAAGAGTGTGGGGATTATAGGTACTGATGTAAGGGTGTTAAGGGTAAAACCGGTCATCATACATGAAAAAAAAACAAGAAAACCTGTTAGTCATATCAACCCTTGATTAAGAGCCTTGATTTTCAAAAACATTCTAATAAATTCTGATATATCTAGATTATGGAGTATCATCCCTTGATCAGTGGAATGTCTCATCATTTAGAGAACTTTACATCATTGGTAAGTATCCTGTATGATTTTGAATCTGTTCATTTATGGTAGAACATATTTCCATTGTTTCTTTACACTACCTTTCCAATTTGGAAGCTGTGACACACCACAGTGGAAACCAATAGATGACTCAGGTTGCTACTGGTCAACTGATTGTTAGCATCCCCTTTTCTTTCCATTAAATTTCTTTTCCCTTTTTGAGGTGGGGGGCTTCTGCAGTACACAGTGCTTTTTCTTGATAGCAGTGCAGGGGTTTCAATTATGTTTTCCATATTAAACAGCTGTTGATGATGTAATAGGCATCTGTGAGTAAAAGTCCCCAACATGAGCCTGCTGGCAGTCTTGGCAGACCAAACAGACAGCAGTAAGAGGTCTTATAGATGTTGGTAGATCACTGGTAACAGGCTTTTATTGAAATCCTTGGCAATATTATTATATTTTAAACGATTTTTTTACCCTAGAAAATTGCCTTTTATCTGAGGTAAATATTGAAATAATACTCTTTTAAGATAGACAAACTCTAAGTACCAAGGTTAAGGGTGATGATTACCTATTCTCTGTCATTCACATGCTGCAAATGAGGAAGAAAAATCATTATTTTTCATGATTCCTACCTGTGACAAAGCACCTTATGTTGTTAATGAGGTATAAGATAACACTTAAATTCATTACAGCTTGAAATTTTGTGATGTAGTAATGAAAAATATTAATCTTCTTGCTTTGTAAATTGTCATTAATTTTTACAGTGTTGCACAAGTATGGCTGTTTACTAGGTGTTTGGAAGTGCAATATAAATCCATATGGTGGCTTGGTTCATATTAAGGTAAGGTTGTCTTTTTTCCCTTCCTTTTAAAAAGATGGATCACAGAAATGGTAGGTTACTTTTGCTTAACACTGACCTAGTCTTGGCAAGCAAGCAAATGATTCGTCAAGTATGTAGATGTTGAAAAATGAAGACTAAATTGATGCTACGAGAAATGGGAATGACTGCAATCCTGCCATCAGTTAATGCGTTGTCAGTGGTCTACATGTATGTCGGCCAGATGATGTTGAGTTAGTTTGTTACTTGGCCTTCTTGTCCTGTTGGCTATGGTAATATTAATCAAGCTTCATCCAGCTGTAGAATGGACCAAGGTCAGCTCAACTCAATCACAAGGTTGATATCTTTGCTACTAAAGGTGCCAGAAACAATTTACCAGAAATACACCAGAGGTATTCTGATGATTGTGATTGCTCTCTGAGCATGATAATGAGCTGATAGAAACATCTCAAACTGTAGATGGGATTTTCCTGAGATTGCCAAGCATCTCACATTAAACAAATAGTTATAACACAGTACCCTGCTGGAGATGCTATCACATCCAAAGCTGATAAACAAAGCTATCAAAAAAGAAGCAACCAGTGGTCGTTCATTCATCAACTTCAGCTGGCTTAGAAACTGTTGCCCTTGGGAGGCAAAAGAACTCCTTTCAAAAGAGCTGCCCTACAGTCTCTTTGGGAGCCACCAAATATGAAAAAAAGTCATTTTTAATGTGAATGATGTTACATCTGCAGACAGTACTTCCTCTGATGCTTTAAGGAAGTATTTCATACCCAAGTTTCTTTTTACAGAGTACGAATGGAATCAAGTACCGTAATTTCCGTCCATTTACCCACGCGGCAGATAACCTGCATCGGTAAATTTTTGCAATAACGAGAAAAAAATTTCAATAGATTACCCGCACTGGCAGATAACCCGCGCCCAAAAAAAAGAAAAGAAAAGAAAAGAAAATCGTCGTCTCCCACAAAGTCCCTTCATTGTTTTTGTTGACATGATATCATTTAGCGTACAATTAATAAACTTTCACATTTTTTGTCTTCGCTCTTTCACTGAAAATGATACCACTTGTAAAAATCTGTTCTCAAAAAAAATCGATATCTCGAGATCTACCAAGTCGAAGAAATCGCTTGAAACTGAAAATACTCTTTTAACTTAAGGGAGTGCCAGCTAAGAAAATTCCACTGATGCGTCGAATATTCTGTCTCGTCATTAATTATGCGGCGCTGCGAAATGAACATGTCAGCATCATTTTCCGTGTGAATTGCACCGAAGGCAGCTTTTTCACAATTAAATTCTTTTATTTCCAAGTTTACTACCCGTGTAAGTGAGAAATGTAAACTAGGCCGGAAGCTTTAGAAGCTATCGTATTACTCACACCTTCCTCAGGTAAACCTACACCAACAACTGTTTGTGGAAAAATTTTAAAAACAGATTACCCGCGGGTAATCGGCCGGAAATTACGGTAATGATCTGTGAGAGTAGGTACTTCAAATATTTTCAGTATTGTAGGAAATATTTACGGAAAGAAATATTGAACAAACTTAAGCAATTTTTTTTCGTTCGAGGCATAATACGTAGACATAGCTCACTATAATTCCCTCTTTCCTCAGTGAATATTGCTGTTTATTCTTTGTCATTATTGTTGGTATTTCTGGGCTATTTTTCAATATGGCATGTCTGATATGTCACAAATCTGTTGGGCTGGAAGAACTCAGTATGTAAACTCATAGTGTGACAGCCCCTTTATAAAATTAATAATTGATGTAAAATGTGTTTAACACTGCATTATGCTTTATGGGTCTTATTGGAATGACTGACCACATGTCTCTGTTGACAGGTTTATCCAGGTAAGATTGAGGCCGTCGATTGTCGTGCACCGTTTGACCCTGATATAAAAAGTCCTCTAAGACCCAAAGTTATGTTTGATATAAAAGTACATGATGGAAAAGCTGCTGTCATGTGCCACAGTGATTGGGATAATGGGTCACACAATGGAAACCTAATGGTAAGTTCAGAATTTCCTCCTCCTCCTCCCCCCACCCCCCCTCACTCATACCTCTGTACCTTACAGAAGTTCACTTTGTTAACTTATCATTTCATATATCATTTTGTGATTTGTACAGATAGAAGAAACTGGAGAGGGGAAAGTACCTCAGTTTCATTTGAAGTGCGACAGCTGGTCAAATCATGAAATACCATCAGACAGGGAAGAGGTTTGTTGAAGAAAAAACTTATTCATTCTTCCCTTCTTTCCTTCCCTTGTTCCTTTGTCCTTTTCTCCTTTGTCTCCAGCGTACCTTCCTTACCTTTTGTATATAACATACTTATATCCCTTTCGCGCGTGTAACGAGCATAATTACCAGAGCGCTTAATGAACTTATCGCTCAGGTATTGCGGAGCGAGGTCATTCAGACATTTGTTTGTTATTACTGCGTCCTTATATAGTAGTAATTGCTTCACGGGTAAAGGAGTTACGTGGTCGAATTTCTTAGAGTTCGTAATTATCTGGCTGGCAAAGTTTTGGATTGACTGTAGCTTACTGACATTTCCAGCTGATGTGATTGACCACACGGTGGAACAATATAACATTTTACTAAAAACTAATGATGCTATTAGTAATTTTAAAGTTTCTTTGATAAAGCTCTTCTTAACACGATTTATCTGATATAGTTTAGAAAAGCAGGACGAGACTACATGTGTGATGTGGTAATCGTAAGTTAAGTGGGGGTCCAGAGTGACTCCCAAGTCCTTGGCTGAAGTAGCTGGTTGTAGTATCCAACCAAGGAAGGACACTTGGGGAACTTCTGATATCCTTCTCATCAACTGAGAAGGATATCATGCCTAGTTCCGATAAAGAGGAGCTCGGTCTTGCTTGGATTTATCAGTAAGTTGTTGGGCCACGTTGCGCAGATCTTGTTCAAGCATCTCAATCGCCGGTTGAGTCAATCTCAGCCAACGGGAATGACAGGAGTACTTGCGAGTCATCCACGTATGACTCCAGGCTCAAGTATTAGGAGCCGAGGGCAGATCGTTGAGGTAGATGCAGAAAAGCAAAGGTGATTGCGCCTTGTGGGACTCCGTGTGTTATTGGCAGGGGTTCCGAAAGAGTGGAATCAATTCGGACAGATTGAGAGCGCCCCTGATAGATAGCTCTTGAACCAATTAACGGTTGAAGATGATTCTCTTACTCTGGAGAGTTAAAGAAGCAGCTTTTGATGTTGAATGCTGTCAAAAGCTTTTGAGAGGTCTAATAGGACGAGAGCGGTGAGGTTGTTCCTATTCATAGCTTCTAAGATGCGGTCTGTGAGGTAGATGTTCAGAGTCTCAGTGGAGAGGGCCTTTTTGTGTCCACTCTGGTGGGTTGTTAATCTGTTGTGTTTAAGGAGGTAAGTAGTGGATTGACTGAGAACGATTTTCTCGCAAACCTTAGACGCAACGGTTAACAGTGATAGTGGTCTGTTATTGGCGGCTTCTTCATAATCTCCGCCTTTAAGAATAGGTATCACCTCTGCTTCTTTCCACTTATTTGGAAATATAATAGTAAGAATGGAGCAGTTTATGATCTCAGTCAGAGGACCTAAGATGACGGGTAGACAGTCCTTGATTATGTGTGCAGTCACTTTATCTGGACCAGGCGCTTTGTTAAGTGGCAGAGACTTGGCTTTCTTCCTCACATGTCATGGTCCTGAGATTAAAAGGCTCATCGATGGGAGGGAGGTCGACACTGATCTCCTCAGGGATCGCTATACTGCTTTTCTTGGCCAGGTGCAAAGAGATCTCTGCGGCATTTCTACCGATAGCTGCAAAAAACTGGCTGAATTAATTTGTTACGGATTTCATATCTTTTGAATAAATTTGCCTTTCGTTGATTTTGAAAGGGAGAGCGCGATTAATTATCATCCAGAGAGAACCAGGATTTTTCTGAAGCAATCTCACTTCTTCGAATGTGTGGTTTCTCTCAGCCACAAGAAGGGTTTAGCTCAGTCAACGGCGTCCCGCGTTTGATGAAATCGTGTGATGAAATCTAGATTTCATGAGATTCTTGATTTCCTGATGGACAAAACGACAGGGTCTGTTACGAATCTTAATAGATTTCATGGGAGCATGGATGTCTAGAGCGGGCTGAAGAGTATCATTAAATGTATTGAGCGTGGTGCCCACGTAGCTAGCATCAAAAATTGTTAGAAGGCCATCGGCCTGGTCGGCTAGGTCTACCATAAAGAGGCTCCCCCACCCCTTTTATGAAGGCGGTTCAATGTGTATAACTTGTATCCCTCCATTTGGAACTCGAGGGTTGGGACGGTAGTGTTTAGCCAAGTTTCAGAGAATGTGATGATATCAGTTTTCCTTTCTGAAGCAAGAAGCCGTAGCTCTTACAAGTGAGCGCGATTTTTGAGCGATCTTATTTTCAGGTGGACGATTTCAAGCCCGGCGTTACTAGAATTTGACGCTCCATTTGGCTGACTTGGCTTGTTGTCAATTCGCTTCACTGAGCACAGATTATGCAGGTTCACTCCTCTAGCACTCGTCTTTGGAAAGGAATATTTCGGTTTCCTGACCGAGTGACGATGTTATGCGTGCGATTTCGAACAACGTGACCAGATCGACCTCTTCGGGTTCTCAATATATCCATACTCTTTATCTTTCGGAAGAGGTCGTCGGAGATAGGACGTCTTGACGTCAAGTGTGACAATTCAGATCTTGAATATTTAATTAGATTGAGAGAGCGACTGAGCAGATTCTGCAAGCGATTATTCGGGTAGCGTCCAGCAGCGTTTCCTGCTCTTTTCGGACCTGGGTTTCTTGGGATATCTAAGTGTATCGTGAGATCTGTCTTAACTAGACAGCTTGGAAGAACCAGAACAGTTAGTCCACACTTACTGTGCTTTATTATAGCTTTTGAAAGTCTGAAGACTGAACTCACTTGTACACGCTTAAGGGCCGTCCTGGAGTCTCTTATGACTCTACCTATGACTCCCCCTAAGTTTGCATGACTGCCTAACACTCTATCAATCCCACTTGGGCTAAAGATTAAGATATGTAAACTTGGAAAAGTCTTTTATTCCTTAGATATAGATTTCTTGATAAAATGTGATAATTTTAATAATTCTTATAATCTAAAAAAAATGGTTATTTATGTCATTTTCAGGGTATGGGTTTTTTGAGAAAGTGGCTGAAAGAGGAATACAATAACGAAGAATTGCTGTTTTTCCAGCCTCACATGGTGCAACTTGTTCTTATGAAATATGTGACTATGCACTCTTTACACAAGTAAGCAGTTCGCCGTATTTATTTATCGATTAGTCATAGAAAATATGATAAGTTATAGCAGAGTTTTTTGCTATTTGGCTGGATATAAAGGCTATTTTGTAGCTCTTTGATCTGATGTGGCGTTTTACATATTGGTTGCACTGAAAAGGTTAACTTAAGTCCTCAAAGGAATGAATGAATGTTGACGGTGAGTGGTCTGCATGGTTGGCACTCTCGACTTTTCTTCTTAAATCTAGTGCTGAACATTTTATCTAAGTATGTTAGACATGGCTCCATGACATCAACTTCCAGTCATCTATACGATTTTTGGGGCAAAAACAGGGAACCTTACTGAAGGAATTGTTGGGTCAGGGGTTGATAACAAAGGAAGCATTTCCGTCACCAAAGGACTCCCTCCCCCCACTTCACCCCACTCCCTTCCGAACTAATTCTCAGTATATTTATTTCTATGGGTTAATTTTCCTTGACACAGTCCCTACTGCCCTCTTTTTGATTCGTTAAACAAGAATTGCGGGTCTCTTTATTACAAACGTAGGTATGAAAACATAAGTATAATGGCGTTTCTTTCTTTTCAACCTTTATAGAAAGCCACTTACATTTGAAGCTCTGGACTTCCAACAATGTAACAGAGACAACCCTTTCTTGACTCCCGGTGTTTTCAAGGTACTCAAACATATTAACTGGCTAAGTGTTCTTTTATACGCGGTTTGATTCGTGGAAAGTTAAATCTATTGGAAGTTAACGCTTCGGCAACTTGTGGACGCAAACGCGGTGGATTTTTGTGTGCTGATACTTCTGGGTAGAGCTGATATGTGGGAAGGGAATGAAAAAAGCATAAAAAAGAAATGATATGTATCTACTACCTTTGAATTTTTTCCTAGATAGAGGAATGAGAGGGGGGTACCTTGTAACTTGAAGTTTCGGACGAAGGAATTACTTCACAATCAAATGAACAAAGCAAATGAACAAAGCAAAAAGAACGTTTGCAGTAACTATGTTGATTCAGAGTCTGTTGCAATAGGCATGCGTATTACCGTTGAACGCTGGCCGCACTGATTGGCTGCTTAAAGCCGATTAAAGGAGTCCATAGTGAACACGGCCAATCAGGACAAGGGTAAAAATAACGATGAGTCAGAAAGTAAACAAACTAATTTAGGCGCGGGAAAGCGCGTGTTACCAAGACGCCATAGGTTCAGGTGGCGCCAGCTTTCTGGATTAATTACAGAGCATAGCCAAGCAGTTCTAGTGGAATCCCGAATTAATTTCGATATTCAATTAAAAACTTCTCTGTAGAAACTACTGATGACGACTTGCGTTCATTTGTTCCAGGGTACTTACAGCAGTCATGGAGTGGAAATGGTCATGATTACAATCGAAGATCAAAGAATAGTAGCGACAAAGTTAACGGTACGTGAACGAGTTTTAGACAATCATGCACTAAGTCGCGTTTCCGCCTTTTTTGTTGGCATACTCTTTAACTAAGCCATGGAAGAGTCTTACTGTATTACCATGTTAAACACGCGTTAGCAAACACTCTGTCAGATAATTAGGACTCCATGGTCAAACTTAAGAAATGGCTCAGTGACTCGCCATTTTCAGAAATGAACCGTTGAGAACAAGGAAGGCGAACCGACTTTTCGGGGTCGTAATGACGCCATTTACCACGGAGGTGAGCAAATGAAACTACTGGGCGTCAAGGGTTTTGTCCAACAAATTAAAACAACAGTGATCGAATGAAAAATTGCACAAATGCTTCTGTTCGTGTTGAGTCTGAAAGTGTGTTGAGGCGAGGTCGAATTGCCCAAGAATGGAGGAGATGAAAGCGGAACTTGGGAGATTTGGATCACACGACATGATGGACATGATGTGGCATTGTTCCTTCAGTAAGAAAAAGTGTTGGGATCATTTTGACAGAAAATTTCAGGAAAATGCTAACCGTGTCCTTACTTGCTCTTACATAGGGAGATGTTAATGTCCCAACAGGGGGTAGAACCGTGGTAACCCTTTTCTTATTCACCTACCCACAGGGGGACCCTAATGTCCCAGCAGGGCAGGTGACATTTGATGTTGACCTCAGTAGGCCTGTGACTGATGACGCTCAACCATCAGCAGCAGCAGGAAGTGGCAAGGCACAGGAGTTCCAGATACCGCCAGCTTATGAAGCGCGATACACAGACTACCCGCGCACTTACCTTGCAAGGTCAGTTTTCATTTGTCACATCAACTTGCCTTTTCAGTTGGTATAAATTCCATTATTTCTCAGTCCAACTGACTGCACCTTGCAAATTATCTTTTACCATTTACTCGATCAAACGCCGCCCTCGATTTCAAGCCCTAACCAATTTGAGGAAGGTAGTCTTTATTCAGGATTATCAAGGACGGTTCAACTTAGTATATTTCCTCATACTTGGAGTTTCTTTTTTTAAAAAGCAAGACATTGGAACTTAAAACAAGTTTTTCATCATTTGATGTCTACAAATGATTTGCCAAAATTTCTTGTTGTCGGGAAAACGCCGCGTGTGAATAAAAGCTGCTATGGTCTCCTTTCGTTCTGTGGACGAAGAAATACTTTTTTTTTCCGTTTCCACCTGTTTTCTTCTTTTTCGCTTGGAAAACCTCGATGATGAAGACGACCTTATGTCTAAATTTTGTATCCGCTTTACATAAGTCAGATTTTGCATCATGCTATCAGATGGTGTACAGATATAACAGTGTTCCCCCCATGCAGCCAAAAGGCAGCTGTGACAAAACTTCTAAGTACATGAATATCATGTGTGCCTTTTAGTTTTTTTTTTTTTTTACACGTAGCTGGTAGTTGAAGGCTACATATCCACATAGTCGGTGCCTTACGTGCAATTTTTATCCCGAAGCCTTTCTAGGATGGATAGCTTAAAGCCACCTGTATGCATCCTGTCTTTAACTGTCTTCCAGTTATTACGATAACCCATTTAACCTTTTGGCTGTAGATATCATGGCAAAGGACGGATTGCCAGTCATGGGTTTGTATCTCCTCAGTGGACCCGAGGCCACTTTGTGCTGTTTAATGACGACATGTTTGGTTTTCTCTGGATTGAACTGATGGCTTTTAGTGTGTACAGCCGAACAACCGAGCCTTTCTTGAGATAAAAGGACCGGAAAACGACATTATCCTTGCAAAATCGTTCATTCAGCTTCTTCCCGTTTGTTTTATATAACTCCCATGATATCCAATCAGGAAATCTCTGAATCGAGGCTACCGCTGTCTGATTCGTGATCATTAGGGTTTGTATTTTTCCTTTGCAGTTTTACGATTCATTTTTCGTATTTAACAGAGTTAAGTGCACTACATTTTCAGAGGATTAAGACGGCCTCAGTTTCCGCACCTTTGATTGTATGGCTAGCGTGAATCGTTTATTATTTCTTGACTATTTACAGCTAAATAACAATGGAAGTCATGCACAACAGAGTACAAAATAAGACGAGGAATAGTGTTTTTCATAAGATCGGCTTTCTGTGACGATAATGTTAATATGTAAAAATGAAACAAACGCATTCAAGTTCTATAATTTACGATAGCGATAGGGGAGAAGTAAAATATGGTATGTGAAGGTCTGAACTGTAAAACCGTGCAATTAAGTAGAAGTCTTGAGGGCATTCCAATCTTGTCTTGATAGTGTCAATACAAGATTAGAGGCAATTCAAGGAACCTATCAAACAAAGACACATTGTGGTAGCTTCTATTGAATCCGAATTCGTGCCTTATCCACATTCGTACATTTTGAGTAATCTTTCTGTTCTTGAACAAACAAATGGACTGAAAATAATGGCTTGAAATGGAAGAATCAACCGAAGGGAATGAGTCAATTCATGACGAGAACCTAAGTTAAGTACTATCATTCTCCACAAAAGCATTCCCCAGCAGCCTGTGACAGGGAATAAATGAGACCTGGACATAAGTCGTAGTATTTCAGATAGAAAATTTACCAAGTAAAGCGTTTTGACTTTTGGGCTAGAATTGGAAACAACACTTAAAATTTTATTTATGCGCAATTCATAGTTATTTTCCCTGATTTTTATTTTTCTATTTGGTGATTGATCCAGTCAGCCACCAATTTTGACCATTTAAACTTCGTGCTAGCTTTTTGTCAGCAACAAATCTCCTGAGGTGTTTGTAATCAAATAACCAGAATGTAGTAAAATATGATACGAGTGGATGTTACTTTTCAATTGTATATATCTCGAACGAAAGTAGTTACATATTAGTAGTGTGCGGTTCGTTTGAAGTTTGTTCCACGCACGAGCCCACTGCATTAACTCTTTCTGCCGAGCTCATCTGACTTTCCATTTTGAAAAAGCTTCGATCAAACACCGTGGCAAGCAATCGGCTTTAGCAGCATTGATAATGAGGTCTAATACTAACAAACCAACTTTTACTTAAAACAAAGTAATAATAATAAAAACGGCCTCGTTGAACTGTTGCAATGTTTTTCACTACGCATACATCCCTGGGAACACACAACATAGCAGTCTATTGAAGGCGAGTAAAGTGCGATTAGTTACGTGTAAGCAAGAGGCGACTTTTGTTACAATTCTTAGTATAAAAGCTTTTTATTTTATCTTGTTAAAATTACAATGCACTTTTCGGATAAAAAAAAGCCTGTTTCCTGCTTCAAATGTTTTGCTCTTTGCATGCAATTATTTTTGAATACTAACGACGTCTGAAGAGTGGCACCCGAAGAGAAGGATCTCCGTTATAGCTGGGGCACATGTTGCACCAGCTCTTCGATGGAACGTCGTAATGTTTATTGCCACCGACCCTGACTGCTCCATAGTATATCCCTGCATACTTCAAGCAGTGCTTGAGAAAGAAAAACCTTTTTAGACATAGCTTGGACATATCCCAAAAGAAAGCGTTGTCACACTGTAACCGAGTCCAGGCATAGTGTTGACCCTGTGAAGAACACACAGACAATGAGATACCGTCTTCATTCTTTGAAAAGAAAATTGAAATGTAAACTGTTGTTTGAAAGTTACGTGCTTTAGATTGAAAGTTACAGTTATGCGAATGTTTTTTCAAATAGTGAAGCCTACTCTTGCGAGGCTATTGACAGCTAGAATATATCTTTGCATGGCGATCTATCATGATCACTAGTACTACCAGTAGCTACTCGCTATCTATTTGATAAATAAGTTCCATGTTGCTCATCAGATAATTATAAAACAGTACATCTGAAATGTCATGAAATTACTTAAGACAACAAATGATGGTAACTTTTTGGTATGTTTTCAAAAGCAACATCACCTTTCAAATATCTTGGGTCAATTACAGACCAGCTCTCCAAAACCTTCCGTGTAAGGAAATATCTAGGTTTCACGCTCCATGAAGTAAGTTTTGAATTTTGGTTTGAAACTAAATCAGCAGTAATTCTACACTGCCTTGGATTTTTGTGCTATCTTATCGAAATGTTTTGAAGCTAAGCCGGAGGATAGACTTACACAAGCGTAACAGATATCATGTTTGTTGCAATCTTTGTTGAAATATCTTTTGTAAGGAAACGGCAGGTTTCCAGGGATGCTGCAGCCATTCGTTACACAATACCCTTTCACCTCTAGATTCAAGGACGAGAATAACAGCAAGCCCAAGACAATGAGGTTTGGATTTTTTCATTCCGCTAGTGCTTTAGTAGGTTTGGCGTGTTCCAGATTCAGTGAGAACTAAAGAACGCGTTGTAAATGGTGGTTAGAAAATATTAGAGAAGGGTTTTTGTAATCGTTATGCAAAATTGAAATTAACTATGGTCGAAGAAATCAGAAGTGGCAATCATTACTTCGAAGGTCATGTACCATCTACTTTAGCGTTCCCGAAGTCACCTCCTGAATCTCACCTTACACAAACATCATCATCACCTTAACGCGCACGTGACATTCTTTCCACAGATGTTTTGCTCCTTCGCGTTTCACGACGAACAAACTGACTCAATGAAAAGGTTAATGCAGAGAATATTACGTGACGATTTTCTTTCTTTGAGCGTTTAATCGTATGGTAGCTGGTTAGCGTTTTGTTGTACTGATTTAGGGAAGTTACGTGAAAAAAAAAACATTGCGTCAGTAAAATCGGACCTTTACATTTGACTGTTTTTCTGTCAAGTTTTAGAACCCACCTTGCTCTCGCTTCCTTTCTATCTTAGTCTGATCTGTTCTGTTTACTTCCTTTGTAAGTTACGCTCAAAGCAAGCATGATTTGTTACACTTGACATAGCGTGTACGTGATTGAATTTTTTTCTCCCTCTTGCTTGCTCCGTAAGCGCTTAACGGGCGATAAATAACGGTACATATGTTTCCATAGTGTAAATGAGGTATTTTTTCCCTAAGAAAATATGTACAGTTTTCTGCAGCTCGCCGAGGTTTTATTGGATACCACTGTACCTAGCGCATAATACTAGAGATGGGGAAGATAAATGACACACACTTACTAATGCAGTTTCCTTCATATTTATTTTCTGAAAATGCCCCGCGGAAAACGCAGGAGACCCTAATTTTAAACAGTTTTTGGATGAGCATGCCACCTTCGTCGCTCGATATTTACTTCTCGTTCTTACACCTTCAAAATCTCACGCTACGCCCCTGGTTTGGAAGAAGATTTAAACCTCTCGAAGAAATCTGAATAATTATACAGTGTGATAACTAGCCGAACAATAATATACAATAATGCTCCATAGTACGGGGAGGCTGTGATTTCATGCATCTGCGCTGCTTGTGATGTGATATTTCCCTGATCCTACTGAAAATTAGGACCTAGCGACAAATGAAGATCAAGGGGGAGAAAGGAAAATAATCAGTAGAGCAATTTTGAAATTCAACGCTTATGGAATTACATGGTGTAAAAACGATAAAGACGAATATGAAAGGGAAAAACATGGGCAACCAAGTGTGACATTTACTTCCTTAATCACGCTAGAAAAACAAAGATGTGTTACATATGAAATCTAAAACGTACGTGACACAGCCTTTCAGGATGTCTCACTCTTGCGACTGCTCCGCAAACGCTTCACGGAAGAGAAAAGACTTTGCAAGGTGAAGCTAGTGCTACGTCTAATTTCCTTTAATACGATTCTAGTTTCAAAGTATGGCAGTGTAGCTCTGCAGTACAGTAAACGTCATGCTTAAACTCTCTAATATATCAAGAACCCTAGGTCAACTTCGAAGGCAACGGCAATGAGGATGTGGCAAAACAAAAGATCGTATGTGCAGCACAATAGCTGAGAACGGGCGTTTTAAACTTCGGACATTTCTTGGCAGTCTTCTACAAAACAACAACATTATATCAGCAAGACTTGCGTGGTCTGAGAGCGGTAACCCTGATGCAAATAATTCAAGTTTCTGTTTGGAACTCATCGCTGTTTACAAACATTATGCTGAAGTTGACGTTTGAAGCCGTAAGAGACAATAAACACATTCAGCCAATTGAGAAATTCTGGGTAAAAAATACAGAATCATTTTCTAACCGAAGTCTTCCTTTGCGTTTCCTACCTGACTTCTTAAGGTCTCTCATGAACATAATAGGACTCGAAGGGAGAAATAACGTCTGTTTGATAAATTAATAAAAAGGAAACATGCTAAGTTGAAAAACCCGGTGGGACGATGAAATTGTCATATCACATGTATCATGAGAAGCAGCATTTTCTTTAGCGGCTGTAAAAAGATATGTTGATTACAAATTGGAGTAGGGTTTTTTTAGTTTGATATCTATATCATAGTGTTTTTTAGATGTGTAGCAGAAGAAACTTTATGATATGAGCCCTCTTTGCATTTGGATTTGCCCCAAAAGATGCTTGATGAAAACTTTTATCATTGGATGACTCAAGAGTAAACATAACCTATACAGCTCAATGCGCATGTTTAAAAAGATACGTTTTTAAAAGTCTTTTAAAACTGTTAATTGAAGAACTAGGTCTTTGTCCGAGTGAGATTGAGCTCCATAGTCTTGGCGCCGCCACAGCAAACGTTCTCTCTCTATGAGTCTTAAGTCTTGCTCTCGGAGTTGTCAGAAGATGTTGAGAAGACGACCTCAGTGTCCGTCTAGAGGTGCGATAATTCAGTAAGTCACCGATGTAGAAAGGCACTGCTCTATTAAGAGCGTTGTAGAGCACTAAAAGAATTTTCTTAACTATGTGGTAACGGATAGGAAGCTAGTGGTGCTTTTTTAGGATAGAGTTCATACGATTAAATTTTCTAGTAGGTGTAACAATTCGATCGAGCTGCTGTCTTTTGAACGGATTGTAATCATGAAAGTAACTGCTGAGGTAGACCATATAGCAGTGAGTTACAGTTATCTAATTTCGAAGTAATAAAGGCATTAGCAACAATGGGAGGACTTGCAAATTGATTTTATGTGTTCCTCAAGGTTAAAACAATCGTCAAATGACGCCAAGATTACGTGCAGAGGATGATGGTTCAACGGTCACGTTGCCAATTTGATAGTTTTGCTTCAAAGTAGTTTCAATAGACTAAATGCCCGTCAGGCAGAAATTTTCACACAATTTCCACTAAAAGGGTTTGCTCCAAACTTCCTAAGAATATCAGGTGTTTGCCTAGAAATGTCAAGCGATTCCAAAATTTTTATTTTTATTGGATAAATTCTCCGAGCTTGTGCATTGAATATAAGTCGCTTGGTTGTCGCCAGTAAGGAATTCTACGCTTCTGGTCAGACGGCTTGGCACAGTCTAAAAGTGGTTGTTTATTTAATGATCTAGCACTAACACTTTGATATGTGACACTGTTTTCCAATTTTTAAAGCTTAATTTTTGAAATAGCAAACTGTGCAACTTTGGCAGCCTAAGCTGGTTATTATTTCTATGGTGTTATACATTCATCATAGTTCAGCCCCAGGATACTCGTAATCCACCTGGTTTAGTATGCGAGTGTTCACTTTATTTTATATACACGCGTGCTTGAACAACCCTGGCCTATGAAAATGGCGGCGACAGTCATCAAATTTTCAGCACATTTGAAGACCAACTTTGGAGAGGTTGAATATTCTTTAAAATCTCAAAAGAAGAATTATATCACACTTCCAGGGGCATACTTCTTCTTGTAAAGGTGCAATCGTACATTGTTACAGGAAATCATTGGATATTTAGATATTTTATATATGCTGCATCTTGGATCGAGTTTAGTTTTTTACGGCTGAGTACATGTATGTGTGAATGTATGTGTGTATATATATATGTGTGTGTGTATATATATATATGTGTGTGTGTATATATATATATATATATATATATATGTATGCATGTATGTATGTATGTATGTGCTTACGTACGTAGTTGCGCACGTATGTATGTGTGCATACTGAACTGACCTCTCCACCAATGACGCTTTTCAGGGCTAAATTGGAAACAACCACATTATGAGATAAGATAAACATATTTAAAAATCCTAACTGACAGGAGGCAGATCAGTTGGATACATACAAAGTGCAGAACAGGAGTTGAACTGTGACTTTGAGGGAACCGAGAACAAATCCAGTAAGTAGAAAGGTCAGTGGAGGGCTGGAACCCGGGAACATCAGATTACAAGCTCTCACCACTCGGCCACACTGCCTCCACATTTGAATCGTCCTCATGAATCGTTTCCAGTCGAAAATCGCTATTTTGTTTGCGCGAGGCGGCAGACTAAAGAATGATCCCTAAAGAACGCATGACCATTAGGCAACAAGTCCGAAACAGAATACCGACCTAGTAAATGTTGTTTTATGATCGACCTATTTCTAATACAAGGGATCAATTGACGAAGAATTAAGTGGACGGAACAGCCACCCAGTCTTTGGGGTTATAGCTGAACTGTGTAGGGTGCAGGGTCTTTTCTGTTTAAAAGATCAAATTTCATTCACCCATAGTTTTATTCTTTATTTCCCACACTTTGAATGTATTTTCTTTGCTATTCTCTATCATACATCAACACATCTGTCCTTTCTCATTCAATTGGACATTCTCACATATTCAGCGGCCTATTAGGATCTCCGAGATTTTTGGCGCATGCTGCCTGACACCACGAAGGCGGATTTTTCTCCCAATACAGGTGACCAAAGGATCTAACAGCCGTGTAGTAAGCATCCGCACCCAGTTTCTTGCATCTTTTCTTTTTGTTCAGCAGATCCCCGAGACTGAACCAGCGTTTTCCATTTTTTTCGCACAGTGTGTACATGTCGCTTTTAAAGGCCTTGTCACATTGCCTCTGATCCCATCCGTAGAGCTCTCCCTGGAAAGGTTGACCACACACATATACCATTACAACAATTCGAGCAGAATTCTCGAAATTTAGCAGAACGAAGGTTAATATCAGTTGTAGTTTTATTAGTAGTAAAATTCTTAGGTAATGCTCCAACATCTTAAAATGGGCAGGGGAAGACTGGGGGCAGGTACCTTCAGTTTGGAACCTTGTTTTTATGATTTGTAACCCACAAATATTGGTTGTAATATTGTAAACTGACTATATAATTGTAAAAAAGAGAGAACGTAGCGTGGCATGAAGACTTACGCAGTAATAGCAAACATCGTGTTTGTCGCAAGCCGGAGTGAAGGTTTTTTTGTAGGGAGCCGGTAAGCCAAGCGGGACACTGCATCCATTGGCATTGATTTTACAATCTGACCTTGAGTTCACTTCCCAACTCATCGACAACAGCAGCAACCATATGAATGTGGGAACAGACAAGTTACCCATGATAATCCTGTGAAGAGATGATAGACTAATTCACATTTAAGGGCATAAGGTAATCCGGGATTCCACTGGTTTTTCCTTGATTAAGTTCTGTGATTAGTTTAAAAAACTCGCGTCATCTTAACCAATTGGATGCAGAACGCGACGTGATCACTCGTGATTTCCGCGCTTTAGAAATATTTGCTTGATTTTTTTTGAGTGATCATCGGTTCTTTAGCAAATTTGCTGCTGTCATGATTGGCTATTGCCGCTATTTTGCCTCTGGTTTTACGTCACTCAGTTAAAATGCGCTTCGACAACTCATTCCTAATTTTCTTGATGGAAACTTTGAAAACCCACAGATGAGGATGGATGTCGTGCATAAGTTTTCGTTACGCAACTCAAAATAATTCTGCTTTAACTTGAACGTATTTGTTTTTAGAAGATCATAGCCATAGTTTCAAGTTCAAGTGAAATAGTATTAGTTTGCCCTCTAAAGGGGTCTTGCTACGCTAAGTACAGGAAGTATCAAAACCAAATCAAATAAAATCGACAAAGCATAAGTGCTCGCTGTGGAAAAAATGTAGGTTAGATGGGATGAAAAGTGTGTGATAGCAAATAACCAGATATTTTACCATAGCGAATAAAAACTAAAATAAAGAAAGAGAGAACTACGTGTGAAAGAAAAGAAAAGACCCTGCACCGTACACGACAACCTCGTTGTCTCGCATTGTTTACGGCCGGATGGAACTACGATCACTAAGGAAGCTAGTAAGCTCGTATATTGCACCCACTGTGTTTAATCGTCTTCAGAGCCTTTGTATCCTGAGAAAACGTGGTAATAGGGGAGGTTATCGACGCTCTGGATCTGGATTCCAATCTATTCGGTCGTTAGGAAATCTTGACAGTCAACGAGAATCAATTGCTTATTCGCGTAGTTGCCATGTTAATCATGCTAATTTGATTCAAATTAACACCTCACATCACATACAGTTTAACCATCCATATCGTTTTAAATATGCTAATTCTGCTAACCTGATCACTGTACCACAAAAACCATGTTTATCGCCGCCTCTGTGTTCTACTTCAACGCATGGTGCGCTATGTAAAAATTCTGCTTGTCTATCGACCTCCTGGCTTGTCAACATCGTTGTTGTTAGAGGAATTTTCTAAACTTTTGGAACATGTTACTGCCGATCTACGACATAAGCGATTGTTAATTGTTGGTGACTTTAATA